GCAGGATAGCGAAAAGCCTTCAGTCCACCGCCGGCTCAGAAGCTGTCTCTATTGTCTACAGTAAAAGGCAGTTTGAACCTGAACAAAACCAGTTTATTTTCCTCCCAGCAGTTACTGTAAGCCATGACTTTAATTTAATAATTCAGAGACCTTTTAGAAGGGTCAACCAGCTCCTGTGAGTCCTGCAACCAGTAAAAACATCCAGAGATGGAGGACTTAGAAGCAGCATTCCAGTCAACATAAGAACCATCTCAGAAAACTCTGAACAAAGAGCAGTGCTTCCTCGGCTTTCCCTCCATCCATAACACGTGTGTGTGTGTGTGTGTGTGTGTGTGTGTGTGTGTGTGAGATAAGAGTTTTAACTGATAGTTGTATATCAAGTTGCATAATTGTTTACCCTTTGCTGCAGTAAATAGTAATTATTAAAAACTAAACCTGGTCCATTGTTTCTATCAAATTTGAGCCTGAAAATCATGCAAATTGTGGAATTCAGTGTGCTTTTAAAAATCTTTAACTTTTGTGACAACTCTGAGAATAGCAGGACTTGATTTCTAATACTACCCCAGTGAATCATGACAGAATATTTCAAAAGTACCTAATTCACTGTAAAGCAATTTGAAGTTCATGAAAGGTTTTATAGATGCATGTATTTTTATACTGTAACAAAAAGCAGACTGTGGTCAGTGGCTGTTTTCCAAAATGAAGCAGGATATATCATGGTGTTTCTAGGGGTCAGTTTTGGGACCATGCTATTTTGTGTTAATCACCTGAACTTGAACAAGGCATAATTTCAAAGTTTGCAGATGAAATGATCTCTCAACTGTAGTAAACAGTGAGAAGGATATTAATGATCTGTAGGAGGTTTTAGAGTCTCAAAATGGCAGATGAACTTACATGTATGGAAGTGTGAAGCTCTTCACTTGGAGCAGAACAATGAAGAGAAGGAATAAAGTTGAAGGCACAATCTTAAGAGGATATAGAAACAGGCAAATAAATTGTGCTGAGTCATTATTGGGTCAGCTCCAACTGGAATATTGTATTCAGTTCTGAGCTCTGTATTTCAAGAAGGATTTGAAGTTTATAAAAACTGCAGAAGAAATTTACTTGAATGGTATGTCACAACCTAACTGCGCACTGATAATTGCTCCCCACTGATCCACAAGCTGTTGTAATTGCACAGAATCCCAGTGAGGCCTCTAGAATGACGAGTTTGCCTCCTGCTTAATACAAAAATAATTCATACCGGGTTTCTTCAGTAACAGTTAAAAATAACTATTTATTGTAACATAACTTGAACAAGAACAGTAAAAAGGAATGATTTGTGTAACTCAAACTATATCTCTTCCCCTATCCCAGTAGGGGAAGTGATGGCGTAGTGGTATGATCGCTGGACTGTTAATCCAGAGACCCGGATAATGTTCTGGGGACCCGGGTTCAAATCCCACCACGGCAGATGGTGGAATTTGAATTCAATAAAGTATCTGGAATTAAGAGTCTAATGATGACAGTGAATCCATTGTCGATTGTTGGAAAAACCCATCTGGTTCACTAATGTCCTTTAGGAAACTGCCATCCTTACCTGGTCTGGCCTACATGTGACTCCAGACCCACAGCAATGTGGTTGACTCTGAACAGCCCTCTGGGCGATAAATTGGGGCGGCACAGTGGTTAGCACTGCTGCTTTACAGTGCCAGGGACCCGGGTTCGATTCCAGCCTCAGGCGACTGTCTGTGTAGAGTTTGCACATTCTCCCCGTGTCTGCGTGGGTTTCCTCTGGGTGCTCTGGTTTCCTCCCACAGTCCAGAGATGTGCAGGTTAGGTAGATTGGCCATGCTAAATTGCCCATAGTGTTTAGGGAGGTATAGATTAGGTAGGTTATAGAGGGATGGGTCTGGGTGGGATGCCCTGAGGTTTGGTGTGGACTTGTTGGGCCGAAGGGATTCTAGGATTCTATGGAATGCTGCCTAGCCAACGATGTCCTCATCCTGTAAATGAATAAAGAGAAAAAAACCGCAAATACATGCGCACAAACTCAAAGGCATGATTAAGATAGACAACTGACAAACATACTCTATGGATGGAAAAGAATATAGACAGGATAAACAAAATGCTGAAGATTAAAAATTCAGACTGCTAGGTGATAAGCTATTTTCCACAGTCCCTTTGATTTTTGCAGTTGATGGTATGCTGTTGTCAGTAGAGTGATGATTGTTCTTCAAAAGAATGGACTAGAGTAAGATTAGGGCCGGTCAAGGACAGTAGTGGGAAGTTGTGCGTGGAGTCTGAAGAGATAGGAGAGGCGCTAAATGTATGTTTTTCGTCAGTATTCACACAGGAAAAAGACAATGTTGTCGAGGAGAATACTGAGATACAGGCTATTAGACTAGACGGGATTGAGGTTCATAAGGAGGAGGTGTTAGCAATTCTGGAAGGTGTGAAAATAGACAAGTCCCCTGGGCCGGATGGGATTTATCCTAGGATTCTCTGGGAAGCTAGAGAGGAGATTGCAGAGCCTTTGGCTTTGATCTTTATGTCGTCATTGTCTTCAGGAATAGTGCCAGAAGACTGGAGACTAGCAAATGTTGTCCCCTTGTTCAAGAAGGGGAGTAGAGACAACCCTGGTAATTATAGACCAGTGAGCCTTACTTCGGTTGTGGGTAAAGTGTTGGAAAGGATTGTAAGAGATAGGATTTATAATCATCTAGAAAGGAATAATTTGATTAGGGATAGTCAACACGGTTTTGTGAAGGGTAGGTCGTGCCTCACAAACCTTATTGAGTTCTTCGAGAAGGTGACCAAACAGGTGGATGAGGGTAAAGCGGTTGATGTGGTGTATATGGATTTCAGTAAAGCGTTTGATAAGGTTCCCCATGGTAGGCTATTGCAGAAAATACGGAGGCATGGGATTGAGGGTGATTTAGCGGTTTGGATCAGAAATTGGCTAGCTGTAAGAAGACAGAGGGTGGTGGTTGATGGGAAATGTTCATCCTGGAGTTCAGTTACTAGTGGTGTACCTCAAGGATCTGTTTTGGGGCCACTGCTGTTGGTCATTTTTATAAATGACCTGGATGAGGGCGTAGAAGGATGGGATAGTAAATTTGCGGATGACACCAAAGTCAGTGGAATTGTGGATAGTGTGGAAGGATGTTGCAGGTTACAGAGGGACATAGGTAAGCTGCAGAGCTGGGCTGAGAGGTGGCAAATGGAGTTTAATGCGGAAAAGTGTGAGGTGATTCACTTTGGAAGGAGTAACAGGAATACAGAGTACTGGGCTAATGGTAAGATTCTTGGTAGTGTGGATGAGCAGAGAGATCTCGGTGTCCATGTGCAGCGATCCCTGAAAGTTGCCACAGAGGTTGATAGGGTTGTTAAGAAGGCGTACGGTGTGTTAGGTTTTATTGGTAGAGGGATTGAGTTTCGGAGCCATGAGGTCATGTTGCAGCTGTACAAAACTCTGGTGTGGCCGCACTTGGAGTATTGCGTACAGTTCTGGTCATCGCATTATAGGAAGGATGTGGAAGCATTGGAAAGGGTGCAGAGGAGATTTACCAGGATGTTGCCTGGTATGGAGGGAAGGTCTTTGAGGAAAGGCTGAGGGACTTGAGGCTGTTTTCGTTAGAGAGAAGAAGGTTAAGAGGTGACTTAATAGAGACATACAAGATGATCAGAGGATTAGATAGGGTGGACAGTGGGAGCCTTTTTCCTCGGATGGTGATGGCTAGCACGAGGGGACGTAGCTTTAAATTGAGGGGTGATAGATATAGGACAGATGTCAGAGGTAGGTTCTTTACTCAGAGTAGTAAGGGCGTGGAATGCCCTGCCTGCAAAAGTAGTAGACTCGCCAACTTTAAGGGCATTTAAATGGCCATTGGATAAACATATGGATGATAATGGAATAGTTTAGGTTAGATGGGCTTCATGTTGGTTTCACAGGTCGGCGCAACATCGAGGGCTGAAGGGCCTGTACTGCGCTGTAATGTTCTATGTTCATTTTAATAATTGATCTCGTGAACTTGTATCTTTCCTTGTACAAGTTTTTTACTTTAAGCTTGCTTGGTTTTTCTGTCTTTTCCCACATGGTGAGAAGGAGGATAAGATGATTGCTTTCTGTCTTCAGGATCTGTATGCCTCTTCCACCTTACTGCTCTTTGCAATTGCAGCTTTCAATATTGCAGCTGAACCAATCAGAATTTTCCTTAAATCAAAAGATTCTCGATGCTGCTCAGTCTTCAACTTCAGCTCTTAGTGCTTCCAACTGCATTGCATGGCTCAGCAAAATGCAAAGCTTGAAATTAAAATTAATTTGAAGTTCACTTGAATTTCAATTTCAACCTTCCTGGTTTTCCAGTTATAACAATCCAACTTCCATTTCAGTTTATAGTCCCAACAGAGAAGAATAAGTGGCCTCTTACAGGTACCGAGTGGAGAGGGTTATAAAGTTGAGATTGCTCCCCTTACAGCAGAGAAGTTCAAGGGGAGATTTTCTAGATTGTTCAAAATTCTCTCATATTTTGCGGAATAAATAAGAAGTAGTGGAAGAAGGTTCATATTTCCAAAAGAAACATTGGCAACATGAGGGAAATATTTTTTCACATTGACTTGTGACCTGGAAAGCACTATCTGAAAGGCGGAAACAGATTTACTAATCACTTTCAAAGGGAATTGGATGAATACTTGTAAAGGGGAAAAAGTTGTGCTTTGGTGGTTTTTCCTTTAAGAAGCAAGTGCGCTTCTTAAGCAGTGACCAGGATGGTACCACAAAGAACCTCTCTCAAATTGTCCTGTGCAGGATGATGTGTGTGAGCCTGTGCCAATCCAAAAAATCCTGAAGAGATTTGCAAAAGTAGTGAAGATGGAGTAGAGAGCAACTCAACTATTCTCCAATTTGCTATCCACGCTGCTGGGTATACAGATACTGGATACATGCGTTGTGCAGAAAAGAAACTTAGACTGCTCTTTGTACATTCTTATAATTTAATGTATTTTACCTATAGGCTTGGGCAGCTGGCGATATTGTCACATGTGTGATAGACCTGGATGAAGGGAAGATTGCATTCTGCTTGTGAGTATGGCTTACTTATTGTATTGTCTCAGCGTTGAGTCTCTCTGGGGCTTGCCGAGACTGAGATCAGAAACATTGGCTAGTTGAATAAGATAGATACATATGAATGTTATACGCAGGGTGGCGGGGTGGGGGGGACTGTGTGCAGGGGTGCTGGAGGCGGTGGTGCCCCTTTACAGTTATATCTGATATATGGCAAGGGATGGAAAATGTTGGATTATACTGGAATATATACTGAAGCTCAAGTTCCTAAACTGACATGTACCCATCAATGATGGAGTTCAGTTTTTTCTTTCCTGGTAAAGGGCTCACCTCTCCAGAGCATCACTGTCCAGAGATGCTTCCAAGTGAGACAGCAGGAGAAGAGTTAAAAACAGTAATCTTGGCCAAATATCTTTTGTGGTATTACAGAGACTGGTCCTTGAGGGTTGGAAAGCAACAATCCTAGAGGAGACAGACAAAAGATACAAAGTATTGAAATACACACATCCTTAACCAAGGTCATCAGCGATGAGTTTTGTTCAAGTAGCTGTTCAGTGAGCAGTGACATAGACAGCACTACCATGTTACACCAACCATTGTGAGTAACAGGAAAATCATAGTCAAGTAACCATGTATGCTGTTCATGATGGGGACTGTATTGATGAAAATAACTTTGTTGCTGGATTGTCATAAAAACCTAACTGGATCACTAGTATATTTCAAGGAAGGTAATTTTTTTACGCTTGCTGGTCTGGTTTGGTCTGTGTGCCATTTCCATACGATACCAATGTGATTGGCTCTTCATGAACTGCCCTCTGAAATGGCGTTGAGAGTAGCTCAGTTAGTGTAAATAGGGACACACAATAAATGGTATTCTTGCCTATGATGCCTACATCCCACGAAGGATTTCTAATTCTGGAGCTGCACTGTGCTTATGGAGCTATACTCCACCGTGATTAACAGAATCAAGAATCATAGAATGGTCATAGTTAAGGAGGCCTTTTAGCCCTTCAATTCCATGCCAGTTCTCTGCAAGAGAATTTAGTGACACCCACTCCCTCTCTCTTTCCCCACAGCCCTGCAATTTGTTCTCTTCAGGTGCATTTTCAATTTCCTTCTCAAAGCCATAAATGAATTTGATTCTGTCAGCCAATGCATTTTAGATCCTAATTACTCACTGCATAAAAAATGTTCTTTTATCATTCACCATCAGTCTGTGACTTCTGGTTCTCAACTTGCCCAGAAGTAGGAACGATTTCTCTCTGTTTACTCTGTCCAGCCCTGTCATGATTTTGAACGCCTCGGTCAAATGTCCTCTCAACCTTATCTAAGGAGAACAGCCCTGCTTGTCCGCTCTATCTGTGTAACTGAAATCCCTCATCTCTGCAACCATGTAGATAAAGCTTTTCTGCACCCTCTCTAAGCTGTCACAACTTGCTTAAAGTGTAATGAATGGAATTGGGCATAATTACTATGGCGAGGTTGAAGCAGTGCTTTGTACAAATTCATTATAAATTGTTTGCTTTTATATGAAAAGAGAAAATTTGACAGGACAATGCTCGCAGTCTTTGGACTCCTGGGGGAAGTCTCAGGAGACTTTGCTAAACCACGCATGAGGGCATACTCCTGTTGGGACTTACTAAAAAGTTGAATGATGGTTGAGAATTTTATTTTGTGGTTGTAGCTGATCTTTTGAATTAATTTTCTCACTACATTCTATGCACATTGGTGAAATAACGTGACATTAATTGATTGCTTAGAAAGGTATTGTGTGAGATACCGAATAAAACTGCTACCAGTAGATACTAGCACATTCAGGAAGGAGCCATTGTCTTTAGGGAGAATTAGCGAATGGAGGAAGAAAGCCTGTTTAATAAATCAGCACTTGGTGGTGAGGAGGAGGATCAGTGCAGGATGAGAAATTCTGAACAATCGGTGAATGGGCAGTGAATTCTGTGCTTTCTCGTTCCCCTGAGTGTCCTTCAAATGTTGAACTCTGTTAAAACAGAGAAGGTGAAAAGACTCATCAGGTGAAGCAGTATCTGCAGAGAGAGATGAAGAAAGGATAATATTTTTCTAATCTTTGGCTTTTATTAAATTATAATGATGTGTGTGTAACATGGCTGAATAACTGGCAATGTGCGGTTATTTTAAAGACAGTCTGTGCTCCTTGTATGCTTTGAATAATCGCATTCTTTCTTTGAGAAGCTTCTTGTACAGCATCTGTGTTTAGATTCTAAATACAAAGTATGTGCTAACTACATGATCAGTATAATCCAGTTACATACTGGCCTGATCACAGCAGATGCTTTGGTGTGCTATAACCTGGTACATCAAAAGCTATTTTAAGTAGTTAGTGTGATTTTGTGGAATGTGACATTTTGGTATCCCTTCCCTCTAGACACCTCGACTGTTTTAAGTAACTTCAGTGCCAGCTGCACTGCTGTTTGGAGCTTATTTCTGACTGAGTTCCTGTGTAGCTGGTGGTGATTTGCTACCCCAATGAATGCAGAATTTAAACGAAAGCTATTTCCTCGGAGGTCGCAACTACATCAGTTCCATCAACCGCTCTGTGAAACCACCGACTCCAGAGTTCCTTTCTGCTTGATTTAAACAGCACTGTACAACAGAGAAGCCCATCTGCCATCTGAAGTAGTGCGGATTATAAAAACAACTGCATTTAAACTTAGGCTAAATTAATCGAGTCCTGAACATACAACAAACTGCTTCATTCGTAAAGGTGTTGAACCCAGCATTGCTACACTAAGCTTCTTTCTGGCATGCCAAAGCCGGGAAAAGGACATGAATGTATCCTTGTCCCCCTCCTTTCTGTCTGTTTGTCTATCTTACCTGACCTCACACTGGGGAACTGAAGCTTGGACAAATTCACTTGACAGTTTGAAACCTATCAAAATGTATATCTAGGTTTCTCAGGGGTGGAAATTTTGGAATGAGATTGACTGTTATGCCAGTTGTTTTTACATTGGATTGAAAGTTTTGTATGTGTAACTTTTCTGAAATGTGACATGCCTTTGACCAGTTTCTCAATGGTGGTTCATGAGTGATAATTGGGTTCTGGATTTGCAGTGTATTCAGACTAAGAATGCACATTCACTGCCATTTTGGACCTTCCTTTTCCAGAAATGGGATCTCCTTGGGAACTGCATTTCAAGACATCAGATTGGGCCCTGGAATAGCCTACTTCCCAGCAATCAGTCTATCCTTCAAAGAATCAGTGGCATTCAACTTTGGGAGCCGGCCAATCCGATATCCTTTTCAGTAAGTGCATTGCATTGTGAGGGTATGGAGTATTTGTCATCTATGCCATACATGCCACTTGACACTGTTTTTATTGTTTGTTCTGTGCTGAAAATTTTTAATTTTATGTGCAGCAGTGATTTTACTGCGTTGATTACCGTATCTATGAAGTGTGGGTTTTTTTTTTTGGTAATCTTGGCTCTGACACGTCTGGAGACCGACTCTCAAACTGTTGAGAAAGCAGTTGAGTTTCAAGTAGCATTTCTGTTTGTCTGGCGTAGAATGCACACCTTCTGTCATGTCAGTCATGGCTCAATTCTTACCTCTGCCTGAGAGGTAATGTTTCAAATCCCACATCAGGCCTTCATTATAAAATTTCAGGCTGATACTCGCATGCAGTACAGAAGGAATACTGCACTGTAGAAGGTGCCATCTTTTGAATGAGAAGTCAAGGTCCCTGTTGCCTTTTCAGGTAGACGTACAAGGTCCCATCACACTATTTGAAAAAAGAGCTCAGAAGTTCTGCTTAGTGCCCTGGCCAACATTTATTCCTGAATCAACATTGAAAACTAAACTGTCTTGTCATTATCAGATTTCTATTTGTCCACAAAATAACAGCCTCATATCCAGCCTTGCAACAGTGACAACACTTCAAAACTATTTTATCAGCTATGGGGTCATAAGTGTGAATACAAGTTTGTTTTTTTGTTCGGGGGCATCCCACTGAGCTAAGCGTAAGTCTCTGCCTAAAAGGTAAATTGTAAATTTGCAGGGGTGGATGAGCAAGTTTAAATGTGAAAAATTTGGCTTTGTTCAGTGAAGCCAAGCTGACTTGTGTGTTTAACTGCAGTGTATCAGGCAGTGTGCAAACAACTCAGTTCTGAAGAGGGGTCCTGTTGGACTTGAAATGTTAACTCTGTTTCTCTCCACAGGTGCTGCCAGACCTGTTGAGTTTCTCCAGGATTTTTTTTAATTTGGGAGACATGGGTTGGCATTTTCAATGTATTACTTTCTCATTTGCAGTTTTGGAGCATAAGAGTTTGAGGGGTGACGTTATTGAGGTTTATAAAAGCATGAGGGGCATTAATAAGGTGAATGACAGGGGTCTTTTCTCTAGGATGGGGGAGTTCACAACTAGGGGGTATATTTTTAAGATGAGAGGAGAAAAATTTAAAAAAGACGTGAGGGACACATTTTTTTTACAGAGTGGTTCGAGTGTGGAATGAGCTGCCAGAGAAAGTGGTGGAAGCAAGTACAGTTACAATGTTGGAAAGACATTTGGATAAGTACTTGAATAAGAAAGGTTTGGACAGATATGGGCCAAGTGCAGGCAGGTGGGACTAGTTTAGTTTGGGAACGTGGTCGGCATGGACTGGTTGGACTGAAGGGTCTGTTTCTGTGCTCTATGGCTCTATGATATTAACATGGCTTTTACAGTTTCACAGTGGCTGCACGGGGCTTCCTGAAACTCAGCAGTAAAAGCAAAACAGCATTTATAGGTGTGGAAACATGGCAGGAACAGATGTCAATAAGTTCTTGCCTGACTCTGTGAGAGGCTTTGTTCACGACTTTGAAGTGCAGATCAGTCTATTCAGCATAGTTGCTTCTACGGCTGTCTCACTTTGGATCTGAGATGAGGATCAAGGTGACCAGTCGAAAGAACAGTAGAAGCCATCTGTTCTTTATGGACCTGCCTCTCTGCAGGAGAAAGTGAAAAGAGAGCTGCAGCTCACAGGAGGTATTTCCAGCATAGATTTTCAGGAAGCGAAATAAGCTTCCTCGAAATGTCTGAATGCCAGGGTTTCAGGAGGCTCAGGGAGCCTCGGTAGATGATGACAGACATTTGCAGCTCCTGAAAGAAGACCTGCTGACATATGGAGCTGGTGGCTAATAAAGTCGCCACTGTCCTGAACTCTAGATCCATCCAGGCTTCTCCCAGAGACATTTGCAGGAACTTTCATTTAAAAGCTGAGGAATTCATAAGGTTTGTTTACCATGGCAGATTTTTATCTCAGTTCTACCACTGATCACTTGAGTTTCTGCACTGGCTGACTTCTTGCAGGTGCAGGATATAGGATGTCATTGGCATCAATAAATGGCAGTTATGGCACTCCAGTATTTTGTGTTTAATCCAATTAAGTTTCTGGTTAATAGTAAGATGCTGTAATGGCAATGCTGTTAGGTGTTAAGCAAAGATGGTTTGATTCTTTCTTGTTGGTGATGATCATTGTCCGTCACTGTGTGGCATGAATGTTATGGGAGTTTATCTCCACAAGGACTGTGTGAGGGCCACTCCTACTTGAATTATCATGGACAGATACATCAGTGACATATAGATTGGTGAGGATGTAGTCAAGTGCTGTGCTTTGCAGTGTTCGATTCGCAGGAAGAACGAGGTGCAAAGTACAAATCCAGTTCAGACCATAATGTGACAAGGCTCCCAAGGCAGTGTTGCGAGTTGTTGCCGTGTTGGTTGCTAGATTATCACATGAAATTTTGCCCATCACTAGGCTTATTGCAAGGTTGGGGAGGGGAATCTCCTCAAAGCCAATAAAATTCTAACTAGATAAATACAGGAAGAATGTCCTGATGACTGAGGAGTCAGAACCAGAGGTCACACTCTAAAGATACGGGGTAGGCCATTTAGGATTGCGATGAGGGAAAATTGTCTTCACCTAAAGAGTGGTGAGCCTGTGGAATCCTCTGTCACAGAAAATGGTTGAGGCCAAACTTTGAAAGTATTCAGGAAGAAGTTAGATATAGTTCTAAGGGCTAAAGTGATGAAAGGAAATGGGGAGAAAGTGGAAACAGTGTACTGTGTCGGATGATCAGCCAAGATTATATTGAATGGCAGAGCAGGTTTGAAGGGCTGAATGGCTTACTCCTGCTCCTATTTTCTATGTTTAAATAGGTCACTCAAGGTAGTTCAAGGGTCACAAAGGTGACAGACAAGGACTGAAGTTCAGAAAGTTTAGAAAGGAGAGGGATGTAGATTCCACTTTAGGAGTACTGCAGTTAGCTGTACTGCTGGGAAGGAAGCTGAACTACAGATTCTGTGTAGGGGGACTCTGTGAAGAGTCGAGCTATTGGATAGCTCTGTACTGTTAGAACAAATTCAGGAAGAAGTTCTAGGAATTAGTAGACGTGTAGGAGTTGGATAGATGGAACCATCATGTTTGGCAAAGCTGCTGTTAACTGTGTTGCTAAAAGGCCGCTGAACTCCAGGATTTTGTGTAGTGAGGATTTGGGGCAGCCTGCAGCAGTTGAATAGCTCTAACAGCTTTTAAGAAGTCCGTAGAGCAACAAAGGGCTTGAGGAAAGACTGTGCATAATTAATAGTTCAGTACAGCTAAGAGCAGAGGTGAAAGGCCCATATACAGTTTTTACTGGATAAAACAGAGCAAGATTGGAGCTGATGGGCCTCCCACAGGGCTACGTCCAGCTGGCTGTCAGCTGGACTTGTGCCTGTGCGTAAGTACAGGAGAGCAGTTTTTGGAGTCCAGGGGATCATGGACCCAGGAATAGAGGCTGATCGGACAGAACGGGCACATTGTGATAGTCCATGACTAAATAGCTCCTAAGAGGGACTTTTAAGGTCAGATAGGCAAAAGTGAAGAATTGTGACCCTTTGTGGAGTTTCATGAGGTTTAATGACCCACTATATCATTACTCTATGGCAGAGTTGCTCTGATCTGTCCTGATCACATTTGCCAAGTGTTGTGTGCTTTGTGGGCTGTTGATCACATTACCTATGTTTGTCATGTTAATTCTAGCTGTTAGAAATAAGTTTTGTGTTTGTGTGTATTATGGTTTGTATTGTTCTTCAAACTTTTATGGTAAAGTCTTGTTTATTTAAAATTGTGGACTCTTGTGGCTTTATTTTCTTAAAAAGTCTCTCAGCTGTCACCTTTGTTCAGTTAAAACTAAAATATTACTAGCCAGATCATAGCATCAAGTTTGTAGTCTGGTCTGAGATTATAACATAGTTAGTGATTATGTCCTTGATCATAATGTAAAATTTGATGGTCTCATCTGCGATCCCAGCAGCTTTGTACCTGGTAACAACCTAACTGCCTGCTTTCTGTTATTTATTGTTTGAATAAATCACTGATAAATTACTCACCTCGGGAAGAGCTTGTTTTCTTTTAACTTCTACGCACGTACCCAGTAGAAGGCTATCGCCCAGTGCAGGATCCACCAGAGGCAGATCTCGTGAAAGCTCACAGACTTCTGGGATACCTAAAGAATGTGATTTCTGCCAGTATGGACACCCAGGTATGGACTTAAGTTTGTTCCTGACAGTGATGTTTTATTTTGCTGCTGTGTCATGTTTAGGTTATTTGTGTCTAGGCGTTTTGAAAGACAGGCTCTGGAACTGATTGCCCACAAGTTGATGCAGTGCCTAAGTACCATTTGCAAAGACTGCAGTAGCGTATTTGCTGGTGGCCTTTGCTGAAGCTGTGATATGAGAAATCCAAAGGACTTCTGATTCATTTCTCAATCTGTGCTGAGTTAGTAGACTCTGATGTGCCAGTAGGGTGATTACAGTTGGCCTCAGGATGGAGCTTGTGAAGGAAAAAATACAGATGACTGTTGTGCATAATAATTCAGCAAACTTTTTATTAACTGGCACCTATGGGACCAGGAGTGTGCCGGTTGATCAAATATTCTGGATAAGCAAGAAGTACAAGTAACTGCAATAAACCCTGACCAAACGCGGCTTCGAGATACCAACATTCCTCAAAACATCGATGTAGAGACATTAACACACCTAAAATCAATGTAATAGGAATGAAATATCAACATAAGTAATAGAAACATAATTTAGTGGTAATCCATCACTGTTATACTTTATTTACAGCATTAATACTCGGACATTGTGGTACGTTGCTCTATTTGAGGTGTATAAATTTTATCAGTTTATCAAGAGTGCCAGTCGATAAGGTGCCGGTTAAAATAGTTCGCTGTGGAATCAGGTGGCAGGGATTAGTGTGTATTTTTACAAATATGTTAGAAAAAGGTGTAGTAACATGCCTGGTTCTGTCAATAGAAGTGTCCCACCAGCCCCCCATCTTGAGGCCTCCCACTAACCTGGCGCCCTGCCCTGTGATTGCAGGCATATTCTTGTATTGTGGTGAACTGTGTTGTCAAGTATATAGTTTCCCCATTATGTTGTGATGAGGTGGAGAATTGCAATGCATCTGTCTGTGTCCTGCAAATTTGTGACATTGATGCAAGGATGTACTGCAGTACCTTGTTGCAGTTAAAAGTACGAGGGGCAGGTTATGTGTCTAATGTTTTGCACAGTAATGGCCCCGTGTATGGGTTGTAGAAGACACCACAGGTTGATGCACTAAAGAGATGTGTGCATCTCCCATCTCAGACACTGTACAGTCAACCTGCCCCTTTATTTATTTATAGAATCCCTACAGTGTGGAAACAGGCCCTTCGGCCCAACAAGTCCACACTGACCCTCAAAGCATCCCACCCAGATCCATCCCCTAATCTACACATCCCTGAACACTATGGGCAATTTAGCATGGCCAAATCACCTAGTCTGCACATCTTTGGACTGTGGGAGAAAACCGGAGCACTTCGAGGAAATCCACGCAGACATGGGGAGAATGTGCAAACTCCATACAGACAGTCACCCGAGGGCGGAATCGAATCCGGGTCCCTGGCACTGTGAGGCAGCAGTGCTAACCACTGAGCCACCGTGCTGCCCTTTGTCAGTTATAACATAAAAATGCACAGCCTGGAATCTTTATTGGGAAGGTTTAATTATAAAATTATGTAGGAATTAGGTAATTTGTAGACAAGTGCATGCAAAAGATGTTTTGGTGTGATGTGTTTGTCTACCTCTGAGGATGAACCGTACTGAGATTGTTTGTGATCTTTCTATAGGAAGGAAAACTGACCGAACAGGATTCTGCGCAATGGCAAGCCCAGGGGGAACCCACTGTGCTCATTACACTCGCGCATATCTTCGACCACTTTGCACCCCTTATGGCAAGTACCTAATGACTAACTCTAACATCTGCAGCAAACTCAAAGAAAGCTTATCAGTATGTGGACTAGCTGCTCAGTCACCCTGTGTATACCAGGAGCCACAGGCAGTACAAACACAGAAACTCCACATTCTTTGCCAATATGGACTTGTCCAGAAGCTGTAGTTGCAGTTCCATCTGTCTGCTTAATGCAGAGTTGCATTTACAATTTTTGCCAGGTCTGGTATTTCTGACAGCTAAGAGTGAGCAAAATTCATTGTCAACTGTGTGGAAGCTGTAACAGTTCAGCTGATGCATGGCTAGATACCAGGACTGTTGAGCCAATAACAAGGGCTACTGATGAGCACCTGTCAAATTTGCTGCCAACAAATTTGCTCCTAGTGTATCCCTTCCCAAACGAGTTGCCTAACCACTCCATGCATTCAATTGCACTTAAGCTGGGTCTTATATTACATGGTTGCTTCTGAGAGCTCACTGCTCTGTTTCAAACGGAGCATTAAATGCTTCAGTGGTCTGAAATGTTACAAACTTGAATAAAAGTTCCTCTAAGATTTTTTGACCATTCTTCATACTGTTTGGTGCAGTCTCTTAATGTGCCTAACATTTGTAATTGTTTGTTATTTTTTGTTTCCTCTCTCCCATCCTACATTAGTCCCATGTTGTTCTAGCACTGTTCATTAATGCAAAATCTCTTACACCTATCTTGAAAGTCTTTCTGGAAGACCCAGGCTTTGAATGTTATTGTCTCATTCATTTTCAATATAAACAGTGTAAAGTTTACCTCGTGGAAGATGTGCTGATGACCTATTTCCTGAGTATACTGGAGGGAGGTGGGGCTGTTGATGAACACCCACTAATTCAACGCTTACTGGACCTCATGTGGCTCCTCATGGAGGTGAGTGCAAATGATGACAAATTTGGATTTAATTGATAGGGCTAGGTAGGATGCAAGGATTGTCCGCTACTCTGAATAGGTTGATGAAAAATACCTACTCTTAAGGTCTTCAGCAGAGATATCCTGTGACTGAGATGATCGGCCTTGAACAACTGTAGCCATTTTCCTTTTTCCTAGATATGTCTCCAGCCAGCGGAGCATTTTCTACCTGATTTCCATTGTCTCTAATTTTGCTACCTTGATAGTATACTTAAGGGTATTTGATTCATCCATTGTGTGCTGCTGAGTATGTACTTGTGCATGCCAACTAAATTAATTTACTGTTTGCTTTGTTCTTCAATATTGGTCTGAGATAATTCACTTTATTGTGAAATGTGGAAGATAAGAGCAGGAGTTGGCCATTTGCCCCTTTTGAGCCAGCTTCACCATTCAGTATGATCATGTCTGATCATCATCCAACTTAGTCACTTGTCCCTGCTGTCTCTCCATATGCTATGATCTCTTTAGCTTTAAGAACTATATCTGATTCCTCCGTGAAAACACTCAATGTTTGGGTTCAACTACTTTCTGTGGTAGAGAATTCCAAGGGCTCACCACTTTCTGGGTGAAGACATTTCTCTTCAGCCTAATCCTAAATGGCATCCACTGAATATTTAAACTGTGAAGTACTGGTACTTGACTCCTGGTCATTGGGAATATTTTTCCTGCATTTACCTTATCTATTCCTGTTAGAATTTTTTTAGGTTTCTTTGAGATCCCCCCCCCACCAATTCTTCTCAATTCCAGTGAATGTAGTTCTAACCAATGCAGTCGTGCTTCATATGTTAGTCCTGCCATCCCAGGAATCAGTCTGGTAAACCTTTGTCATCCTGCCCATAACCAGAACATGCATCCTCAGATAAGGAGAACAGAACTGCACACAGTAGTCCAGGTATGGTCTTGCCACTGGTTAGCCTTAGGTAGAGATATTTTATTTTACACTGCTTTTGCTGCATGAAACTCAGGTTGAGTTTGAGTTGATTTGTTTCTTCTGTTACAGGATTATGAAATCCAGGAGTGTTTGAAACGGCTGATGATGTCACTGCTTCGTGCATACAGATTTTCTCCTATCATTCCCGATTTAGGGTTACAGGTGAGGCCTTCCCCTGTAAGGCATCGACATCTAATTGTCCTGAGCAGTGTAAATTCTGGGGTGTCATGACCAATGAATATGCTGCTCAACATCACAAACTGCAATCTGTAACTGCAAGATCTCTAAATGCACAATGTGAGGACCACTATCCTTTACCACCCTCACACATGCTGAATCCAATCCCCTCAAAACATTGCATTTCAGTTTGTAATATTTAAAGTTAACTTATAATTTAAATTTGCTTAATTTAACATGAGACCAGTGTACTGGACAGTACTCAGCACAAGTGATATATTCATAGTAATTATAAATGTTGGTATTTTTAAAGCCAAAGCACCAAGGCACTACTCCTACTTTAATCTATAACATAACATTATTCCTTGAAACACCATTTCTTTGTTCACTTGAGGTAATAAGTGTTTTGAGGATTACTGTTACATCATAGATTAAATCGCTCATACTCTTGCTCAGAAATTCTGCATTGTTCACTGTCTGTACTGGCTTCAGGTTGACTTGAGCTGAATATAGTTAGCAAAATAAGACTCAAAATTTGAAAGCTTTGCCCATGGAACTGTTTGCCAAAGAGACCATTTTGCCCCCTATCACAGAGCTAATTTACCTCTTTACCCTGTCGATAACTGTCAGATGACCCTGTAGCACCCAAAGGACTGTCAGAATGCCAATTGTAGAATGTTTTCCCAACTGCTCAGTAAGATTTTATAACATTTGGGAATTGATGCATTATACAACAAGCTATTAAGGACAGTACATCAGATTGACTTACCAGTCACGTGATATAGTAACCTCTTTTCTTTGATAGCAGCAGAATGCAGATACGTAACAATGCAATTGATATTCAAGCATATAATATCTAATTGAATATGTTTCAGAGATAGCTAGCTCTAACTAATTTAACTTGTTCGTGGACCATGGAAAAAAAATTCTGTAAAGCATCTAACTAAAGTCACTTCATTTTTGTCACAGTTTTTGGTTGCTCTGTTGTTTGCCCAGGACTTTGTGTGTGCTTAATGTAAGCAAGTCCTAGGATGCTTGGCGTAGCTTTCCAGAAGTCAGCAGAGGCTGTGATGACAAACTTGCAGACATCTTTGGTTAGAAAATTTACATGAGACAGTAGAAGGTTTACCATTGTAACACTTCTCTTGAACAAAGGATAAACCGGGTAACTATAGACCAGTCAGCTTCATGTAGTTTGCGAGTAAGCTCTGGACGCCACAGATCTGAGATGCAATTCCTACTGTTATGGAGGGGCAATGGCCAAACTCCTCTGATAATTAAACCAAAACACAAGCTCCAATCTGTTATGACAGGAGTAGAGGTTCCCTTCTAATAATTACCCTTGAAACACCCAGAGAAGTTTGCCTTTCCCCTCATAATCTGTTAAGAGTGGTTAAAAGAAAGAAAATTCCTGATCCCCGTTATAAATAACAAGAAACAATTTATTTATTTAACCCTAACAATGAACAAATTGACAGAATGACTTAAACTGAACAATTCCCACCTAAGTACTAACTCCTCCCTAACTGGTGTAAATTATACTAGAATGCTGTTCAAATAAACACAAGTACCACTTATAGAAGCCCAATTAATAAGACAACAATAAATTAAAACTTAATCTGTCAAAGTTTGCACAGACTGCCTTCTGGAACACTCTGCCTTCTCCAGTCGATCTCACATCGCAAATGTCTTTCTTCCACTGATTCTGCTGTCAGGGATGGTTTTCTGTGTAACTTCCTCTGTGAGGACTTTTAGCTAGAAATGCCGAGGTACCTTTTAAAGTAGATGGTGCATTCTCAGCTAAAAGGTGTTGTCTCTTGGCAGTTGGCTCTCCCCGATTTTTCCAAATGCCCTCGTCTTTATATCCATGATGACATAACAATATTTTTTACATACGAATGGTTCGATGTTGTCAACACCATCAGATTTAAATTTGATTGGTTTCCAGAATCTAAGCGCTTGATTAAAGTTGATTGGCTAAATTTGAAAACTGTTGTCTTGCTAAAAATGGTGTTTGGCTGCTGGATACAAAATCTTTCCGTTCAGATGCTCTCCAAGTGCACCTGCTTGCAAACTTCCAAGCATAGACAAAGTATGATCTCTTAAAGTGACCATGCACTGCTTTTCAATTCATGACTATTCTACACAACGTCGCAATACTACTCACTTAGAAAAACGAGAGTTCATTAAAGGTGGCCAGTGCAAAAAAGGTCAAGTTTTTAAGGAAATAGTTGCTTCTAAACAAAATACAGTTAGCATTGTATATATGTATGTTCACAAGGTGTTGGATATGTGATGCAGTCTTATCAGTGAAATTAAGATGCTGTAATAAAATATGAAAATGTGATTAGGAATGTTGCAAAAGGACAGATACATGTCAGTAGTTAATGAGACGTTAGGGTGGAAGAATGTAAAAATGTAAATTGTAGGTACTAGCAGCTTCAGTACTGATCCCCCTCATGCTCAACATGTTACAATTTGCAAACCTGAAAATGACCCATTATGCCGATTTTCTGTTACCTGTTAATTAGTCAATCCTCTGTTCATGCTAATATATCACCTGTATGACCATGAGCTCTTGTCTTGTGTACTAACCTTTTATGCAGCGCATTATCAAATGCTTTTCGGAAATCCAAACACACAGTACCTACTGGTTCCTTCGATCAACCCTTCTTGTTATGTCCTCAGACAACTCTGACAAATTTGTCAAACACTATTTACTTTTCTCAAAATTGTTGATTCTGCCTGATGATGTTATGATTTTCTAAATGGCCTGATACTACTACCTCTGGTTTCCTATCACCCTCTGGTCTTGAGTGAAGGGGTACTTTTTGTGGTTTTATGACATGCTGGTGTCTTTCTAGAGTGTAGAGAATTTTGGAAGATTGCAACCAATGATTCCAATATCTCTGCAGCCACTTCTTTTAGCATTCTAGGATGCAGACCATCAAGGGACTTGTCAATCTTTAGCTACATTAGTTTCCCTCACATGATTTCTCCAGTGATTATTTAAGTTTGTTCTGTCCCTTTGCCTCTTAATTTTCCATTATTTTTGGGAATTTTTTTTGTCTTGTACCATGAAGGCAGATACTGATTATTTGTTCAGAATCTCTGTCATTTCACTGTTATCAGTTTTTAATTCTCCAGCCTCCTCCTTTAAGGGACCAATATTTACTTTAGATACTCTTTTCCTTTTTGTGTTTGTAGAAACTTTTGCTGTCTTAAATTTCTTGCAACTTTTTCCAATCTTCTGGCTTACTAGTATTTACAATTTTTCTTTCAATTTGACATCATCATTAACTTCCTTAGGTAGCTACAACTTTAGCCATAATATAATTGGATATAAATAAAAGGAGACCTAATGGAGGTATTGGAAATTATGAAGGATTTTGTATGAAGTACAGAAGAAAATTATTTTCATGTGTCAGTGAGTCAGCAACTAAAGGCTAAGGTTAGAAAGATTGATTATATATGGCCACTGGGTCTTGGAATGTTATCAGAAATAGTGGTACAAGTTAGAAGCCTGGGAGCTTTTCAAAGAGAAGAGCATGAAATATATAGCCTCAAAATTAAAAGGGAACGGGGGAAGTTAAAGAAATGTAGCTAAGTGACTAACTTGCTGAGAACTGGCAGTGCCAAGTAGGGCTGCATGGCATTATATGCTCAATCATTTAAGGGTTTGGAGTAGATTTGTAGCTCGGGTTGTGGGTGTTGATGATGTTGCCCAGCAGGGTAATGAAACGTCCAACCTCAACGCTCAATCGTTTTAAAATTCCAATATTTCTTTGTGACCTTTAGTATGCTAACAGTTTGTCTTTTTGTCTCTTTGCAGATCCACTATTTGCGTCTGAGCATAGCTATTTTAAAGCATGAGAAAACCAGGAAATATCTGCTCAGCAACGTCTTATATCCTTTTAAATCCACCTGTACTTGTTTTTGTTTTATTCTTTTATTGCTTGACTAGCAAAATTACTGGAAAATGTTCCCACTTTTTCAGTTCTCCTATGTACTATTTTCTCAATGAGCAGGCAGACTGGAAACTGCTCCAAAATTTTGCCAGCGCCATGCATACCAGTTAAACAATTGTTGGAAGGTACATAGCAACAGCCTATGTTGCACTAACTATGAATATCCATCGGTGCTTTTTGGGGAATGTTGAGCACCTCCTGAATTAAGCAATCACAGTAGTTCTTTATGACCAAGGTCAATCAAACCTGTATGGTTTGAGTAGATTGCGAACCTCCCTGTGACACCACAGCTGTCGATGTGAAATTGGGCATGCTATGGAAGGAAAGTAAAAAATTAATTACCACATCATAAAATCCTCAATGTGAATGCCAATAAATGACTGAAAACTGCTGCTCACTAAAGACACTGAAGCTTTCAAGAAGAAACCACACTTAAGGGATATTGGCAAAAGTGCATATATGTTTCTTCTATCAATGAGTGAACTTTTAATGATAGCATGATATAAATGGAATGTTATTCTTAGTACCATTCGGTGTTAATTTTTCCTAAATATTTAGGATTTTATTCCAAAGGAATGGCACACTGTATAACTTACGTCTTTTAAAAACTTCAGGTGCAGCGTGCTTGATCATTGCACGCATTTACAAAAAGAATTTTCAGTCTTAGGCTGTAAAAAGCTGAAGGGAAGAGGGTCATTTGAAAACTTAGGGTACGCAAGAAGTTATTATACAAAGAACTGGCACCTTGATGACCCTTAACTCAAGGACACATTTGATGTGCTGCGATCAGTGGTGTTTTTTTTCATTAAGACGCCCCTACGAGTGGAGGAGGCAGGCTTAGAGGAGCTTATTCCCACCACTTGGTGGCCAACCAGGTTTGACAAGGAGGTGAGATCCTTTATTCTTTATTTTGGCCTCTGCTGGTGATCAGGCTCCATGTGAATAAGTTCCATTTGGGTGAAAAATTCCAAATAATTTGCCTCATTTTAAGAGGTGATGAACCCCAGTTTTCTCCTTCCAGGGGAAGGAGGTGAAGGAGGAAACTGCTGAGGAGAGGCTGAGACGTCGGGCCTATGAGCGTGGCTGCCAGCGATTAAAGAAGCGTATTGAGGGTAAGCACTAAATGTGGAGCCATGCGGAGAATGTGAGTAACAGGAATCATTTCAACGTTTGCTTATCTGGAGCTTCTTTAAAGTCCCTGGGGATCGAGCATGACTTACTTACTTACTTCCATTCTGGTTTGGTGAACCTTGAGAAGGCTATTAGCTCCAATACATGAATGTAGGCTCTGCCGTGTGCAGGGAAGGTGGTGCTTGGAGGGTCTGATACAGGTCCACTGTCCTCAAACTCTCCTCGTAGGACAGTCACGCCAACCAGTAAATCGGTCTGCTGAATCCTCTGAGGTAAACATCTTTTCTTAGACAAAGGGAACAGAACTGCACACAGTACTCAGGTGTAGTCTCACCACTGCCCTGTACAATTGAGGCAAGACTTCTTTACTCTATACATGATAAAACACCTGTTAAAAATGAACTCAAAATGCAACTCTGCTGGTAGATAGCCATAAAAGTGCGCTAGCAGCCTGCTATCATCCAGATCCAGATGTAAATCAAGACTAAGAGTGTTACATAGATCGAATGAATGCTTCAGCCCTCTGAGAGGAAACATGGTCCCTCATCGCCATCTAAAGGGCAAGCCCTAATTTTGAATCTATCCTCTGATTCTAGACTTGCCCTTAAAAGGGGTCCACTGTGTATTCAGGGATGCAGTAAGGAGTTTGAACTGACAAGCTTCTGTTTGGATTGCTGGTCCTTTCCAATGCTGGAAAGTTTTCACAAGATAAAATCATGTTCAACTGTGAATGAGACAAAGCACTGCTGATTGAATGCAATACCTACTGTGGCTGCTTCGCTCGCCAAGCTGGTCCATTAGTTCGCAAACGTTTCATTATCATAGGCCTCCAATGAAGCACTGTTGTATTTTCCCACCTGGTATTTAAACTCTGGGGTCGATTTGGATTTGATTACCTCATTTCTGGCTTTTCTTCGCAGTGGAGTATCTGATCTTGTTATGCTTTGAGATCACCTTCTTCATTGTTCCCCACACCACCAATTTTGGTGTCTTTTGCAAACTTAGTAACCATACTCCTACATTCAAATCCAAATCATGTGTATAAATGATGAAAAGCCGTCGACCCAGCACTGATCCTTTGTCACACTGCTGGTCACAGGCCTCCAGTCCAAAAAACAACCTTCTACCCACCAACTTCTGCCTCCTACCTTCGAGCCAATTTTGTGTCCACTTGGCTAGCTCTGCCTGGATTGCGTGCGATCTAACCTTGCTGCCCAGTATAACCCTTGTCGAATGCCTTGCTGAAATCCTCATACACAATGTCTACCACTCTGCCTTCATCAATTTTCTTTGTCACCTCATCAAAAAGTCAATCAAGTCAGC